ATATTGATTATTTGATAATGTTGAATTATTATAATGTTCTTCATCGGATTCTTCATCATTATCTGTACCAGAATTAGTACGTATACTACCACTATTATCTGATGATGATTTTGTTGTTACTGATGAACCATGTGAATTATAACCATTATTTGGTAGATATTTACTACGTTCATATGGAATATTTGTTGTTGATTGTTGTGTACCATAAGTTTGTGAATGATTTTTATTTAATAATATTGTTGATTCTGTTAATGGTTTTTTTGTTGTTTCAATTAATTCATTATTATCATCATTATCTTCATCATTTGATAATTTTTCATAAGGAATATTTGTTTGTGTATTATCATCTTGACATTTATTTGATGTTGACGAATCAGATGTTGAACAATCAGATGATGATGATGATGACGATGATGATGAACGTTGTTTAGTATTATTATTATTATTATCATCATCATCATCCTTTGGAAAATAATTTATAACAGCTTGTTCATGAGATTTATTATTATTTTTCATTGTAGTTTTATGTTGATGATAATTATCTTGTTTTTTATTAAGTTCAAGTAATATACCAGCACTTTGTGCAATACCTTGTTGAATTGATTCACTTGTATCACCAAATGGAGGTGACCTCGTTCGATTTTTGTTATTACTGTTTTTACTTGTACAAACTGGAGCAAACGTCTTAAAAAAAAAGGCATTATATGAAAGAAAGGAAAGAAAAGGAAAGAAAAGAAAAGGAACACATCATGTCTGTTCGTCGCTTTGTGCCTTGGTAACATACAACATTCTGTCACAGATATATGCGTACACACAGACAGACACACCTATCAACGTATCTATATTGAAAGAGAAAGGCATACGCAAACAGACAATCACACTGTGGTACATTTCGTTCTCCCACGCAAAACTATATAAGGACGAAACTCATGTGCATAAAAATTTAATTCATATTATATAGATTAATATTGAATAAGAAAAGAAAAGATTTCTAAACCTTTTTATAATCTTCAACATTAATATCAATTAATATTGGTTCAGATTGATGATTAGATGATGATGTATAATCAATATCAACAAAACGTGTTTGATCATAATAATTTCCTTGCATTAATTCATGTGATTGATATTGTTGTGTTGAATTTTTTATATATAAATTATCATTGTTTATTCTAAACAAGAAAATAAAACAAAAGAAAAAAAGAAAATTAATAAATTCCACAAACTTTTTTGATGAGGAATGTTTTGTTCGTAAATCATGTATTTCATCGTATGCTTGATTATTAGCTATTTTAGTTTCAATATTTTGTTGACGTTTTATAAGTGATGGTGTTGTTATTATTCGAGTATTTATTGTTGATAATTTATTATTAATTGAATTTATTTGTTCATCATTATCATCATTATGATTTACTGCTGATTGTATTGGCAGATTTGACATAATGATGATTTGATGATTTTATTTTTTCAATGATTGATTTCACAATTGAGAAATCAATTTAAAAAGTTTTCTTGTTTCTGTTTTCAATCAATTGATAATTATTATATAGTTTTGCTTGTTCAAATTAGAGATAATATTCCACATGAAATATATCTAAGCAAGAAAAAAAAAATCAACTGAATTATTTTAATGATGAATTGTGTTATAGAAAAAAATAAAATAAAATAATAATTTAATTGTATTAAACGAATAGATATTCGATCTATTATTAAAATTCTTTTCATACATTCATCATACATTGTATACACAATTATCATTCATCATACTACAGCCATCAATAATGTTTGATTTCCTCATAGCAAAAATCATAGTTGCGCTACAATCAATATTAATAAAATTTAAAAGAAGAAAATTTTCTTTTTTCTATTATAGAAGAATTTATTTTCTAATGAATAATTAGTTTAATAAAATTGTTTAATTTAAATTAAGATGAATTATTTATAGTGACATCTATTGTTAGTTTGATTTACTTTGGTGAGAGTTTAGATATGGAATATAACTAGTAACATGACGATGATTTCTTTTTTTCTATTTCAAGTTGAGAGATCTATTCATAAGAATAGAGAAGAAATTAGTGAGAGAAATTATTTGTTTAATAATTTTTTTGATAAAAATAAATTAAAACAAAAAATGGAATTGAATTAATAATAGTTTTCTTATCGAATCAAACTAATAATGAACTTCAATAGGAATATAGTAAATTTCTTTATCTTTTCTTGAAAAATGATATCTGATTAGCGATGTTCAGATAATCGAGAAATAAAATTTTGGTAATTACAAACATAGGAGAAAGTAATTTCTAGAAAACTTCCATAATTCATTACAATACTAAGACATTAATTCTATCTAAATATACACTAACTACACAACCCTAGTAACTATGGAATTTGACGAAAAAATGACTTTCTCATTTGATGCTGACTTCGAAAATTTTCTTTTTTGTTTTTTTTGAAATCCGAACAAACGTCGAAAAGATTAGGTGTGATTCTCAAATGAATGACAAATAAAACTTACAAATATGTTATAAATAATTTTTTATTTAAATACAGCATAAGTAAATATTGTAATCTGAATATTGAATAGCATAAAAAAATGAAAACGTTGTAATCAAATAATTTCAGATAGAAATGGTTTCAATTTACTTTTATATTGCATCTATTATAGACGTTTATTCTCTTGTTTTTCTTTTTATAAATAAATATATATATATATGTATTGACAAGTATTCTTTATCAAAACATGAAAAGATGTAAAAATAATAATAATAAAAAAATAACAAAAGTAAGTCTCATCAAGGTTGTATTCGACATAGAGAAGTTTTCGAACAATTTTTTTTTTTCGAGTCTACTATTTACTCTCATCACTTTTTTTCCTTTTCTGGCAAATGAAAATTGTTCTATGTTAATATTTGATTATTTACTTACTATGATGAAATGTCTATCTAATATTAGACTCTTCTCAAGTCTTCAATGGTTGTAAACACTTTGCTCTTTATTTGAATGTCATTTTATCTCATGTCTCTCTATCACAAGGATACAATAGAATTATCTTGTCTTTTTCTCTATTTTAATTTTATTGAATTTATTACAATTGAATAAAAAAACAAAATACATAGCATGAATAATTCTTATGAAAAATATGATTAGTTATGAATATTGAATTTTATCATAAAGAAAGTTCAACCGTAACAAACATTTGATAATATAATATGTAATAGAAAAGAGGAATGTTTGTTAAGATTGTTTGTCATCTAGAGTAATGGAATGAATGAATGAATGAGTTAAGATTATTTCTATATGCCATGAGCATATTTATGATTAATGTTTTCTTTTCATCACCGGATGTATGGAAGAATACATTATCAAAAAACATCATTTACAAAAATAGCAGTTCTATTAGATTCTACAAATACTTTTCTAGGCAACTATATTAAGAATTTTGTTTGTTGTTTTATAAATGATTTCTTTATAATTATAAAGACAAACTTCTAAGAAATTTTGTAGACTAATGAATACTATATAGAATTATAACTAGTAAAATATGTATAGATTTTAAAATGATTTGTTTTTGATTTCGATTCATAAGTAAAGTTTGTCGTAAAAAATGTATTTCTTTTTTTTTCCTATAGAGAAATTACTTTATAAACATAACATTAAAAAAAATCAAAAATTGATTGAATTAATTAATTTCTTTTTTTTTTTTTTGTAGAATTACATGCAAGTTAAAGATACTTGTTATGTCAGATCCTAAGTATTTAGCATATTTGTTCTATAAACTATGAAAATAAAGTTAATCAGTCGTTTATAACTTACGAGGAAGAAACCATCTGGACTGATACTTCCATTGTTTGAACTTTTTATTGATTCTACAAGGACACCTTGATAAGAATAGAAAAAATCTAAAAGAGTTCGTCTCTATCGACTTTTGGTGAGACGAGTTATGATCGTTTTACTAAATTTTCAACTTAATTTTAAAAGTATATACTGAAAAATCAAAAGTTAGCATATCGATTTGAAATCACGTCTACAAATAAGTCTCATGATTCATAGAATATTCTGAAAGTTTCAACAGAAAATAATGACTTTTTTTTCCTATCGAGATATTAAATTGCTAAGTAAACTCAATTTTTGTATTATGCTTATGAGATGTGATTATATTTTTGGGAAATTTGATATCTAGGTAATAGTACATTCTTTTCAGGTGAAAAGTTTCAAGATATTCTATGAGTAATTCAACCTATCCTATGAGAAAAATTTCAAGTTTAAAATTCTTTTTTTTTCATCTTTTCAATAAATACTTAAAGTTGAGTTAAAAATTTAGTAAAATGATCTTAATTCAACTTTAAAGATCCTATTTTTGTTTTTGAACATTTTCTATTCTCATTAAAACATTTTTGTCAGTTAAATATTTATCTCAAACAATGAGTATCCATTTGAGTAATTCATTCTTATGTTAATATTAATTTGTATAAAGATATTCAAAATAAAAATACAAATAAACTTTGTTTTAATTTTCGTTGTTTCATGTCTTTGATACTGTTCATTAAAAAATCAACAAAAGAAAGAAAAAAAAAAACGTACATTAACACAAAAAAGAACACGAATTAGTTTAACAAACACTGTTCATCAGAAAAAATCTATTGCAAGAAGAAAAAAAAAACAACAACACATAGATAATCATACAAAAGACCAAAAGAAAAATAAAAAACAAAATCATAAACATTTAAATGTTTTTTGTTTTGTTTTTATATCGATGTTTATAACATTTTATATATATATATATATATGTAATGAAAATCCTTATTTAGGACAATACATTTCTTTTCTATTTTTTTTTTTTTTTTTTGAGCAACAAAATGAAATAAAGAAAGTGACTGTCAAATCAGTTACAAAACAAAACAAGAAAAAAATAACTATCCCAAATACAATGAAAGAAAGAGAAGAAAAAAAATCAAATCACAGTTGATCGAGAAATACAAAAACTATACATAAATGATACATTAATAAGGATAATTTGTATTATGTTGATGATTAGTAGAAAAGGATGAACCTGTTAAATTGTCTGTTGTTCCTTGATATGAAATATCCATATGTGAATGTACAGATGTTGATGAATTATTATTATTAGTAGTAGTAGTCGTATTAACCGGTGTATAAGATGACGATGGTGGTGTTAAAAATTCATCGAATAAAGAAGGTTTAACATTATGATACGATGAAGTTTGTATAGAATCAAATTGTTGTGAAGTATTTCGTTGATCTTGATAATTATTGGATGAATAATATGGTGATTGATCATTTGATGAAGAAAATAATGATGATGGACTTGATGATGTTAGAGAATTATTATTATCTATAGGTAATAATCCAATTGATTTTGCTGATGATGGTGATGATGAAAATAGACTATTAAGAAAATCTTTTTGTTCAGAATTAATAATAGGTACTGCTGTTGTAGTTGTAGAAGTTTGCCGTTTTTGAATATGTCGACGTGCAAAATGTTTATTTTTTATATTTTCTAATTGAGATAATTTATTTAATATTGTATTCTACTTTATGAAAAAGAAAAAAACAACAGATAGAGAAATGATAGATTTAAACAAAACAAAAAAAGAAAGAAAAATTTTAATACTCGTTTTGCTTTATCATTTATTTGATTAGCATCAATGGTTTCTTGTCTTCGGATTGATTCTAATTGAGATTCTAATTTGGCTTTGGCTAGAAATATATTTAAAAAAATCAAATGATTTATATGAACAACATAAAAAAAAAATTTTTTTGAAAATTATTTCTCGTATATATTCTGAATTTGAAATATTTTTTTTCTTCATTATGATCTGACTAAGAAGAATCTCAATCAATCCTTTTTGCTTTTGAATATAACAATGGAAATTATAAGGAAAACCAGTGATACGACTAGTACTGATTACCGACCGATCGATTGTTATTGTTGGATCTTATTAATGTTTTTTGGCTCTGAGTATCTCATAGAGGATGTATAACGAAATTTTATTGAAAGTTGGCTATGTCAGAAAACACTATCCACAGATGAAATAGTATGACAAACTCATCAACCTAGTATCAGTATAGATTTCAGACTGATCAGTCTATCGACGACCGTTCGATCAGAGCTGATCTATTCAGGCCGATTCCATCTCTGAGGAAACTATTCGAAGTGAATCATCATTTTTGTAATAGAGAGAACTTTTAGACTAGAATAACTTCAAAGAGTTTTGGGCTTATAGACATTCTCTCGACAGAGTTTTTCATAGAAAGAGTATTAGCAGAAGAATTTAGAATCTAAAATTTTGCCTATAAGTCGGTCTCGCGACACTAACGAGGAAGCATTCCTGAGTGTCTCGCTCTGATTTCGTTCGTTTATATATCATTCAATAGAGAACCTCGAGTAGATAAAAAGCCTTAACGGATCGCGGTCGGCAGCTTTTTCTTGAGAAGTTACGACCAGTTTTCTGATTTTCCCAGCGAAAACTAGCATAAAAAGAAAAATTCATAATTTCATCAAGGAAACTCATAGAGAACCGAAATTTATTTCGGTGATGGTCTTAAGAATTCTCTATATACTCTGAAAGTTTCATAATTCCATCACTCTCTTTTCTCACTTTATAGAAATGTCCTTATAAATCGGAAAAAGAGAGTGATAGAATTGTAAAACGTTTAGAGTATATAGAGAACCTTTAAAACTATTGCCAAAATAAATTTCGGCTCTCTATGAGTTTCCTTAATAGGGTTATGAATTTTTCTTTTTATACTAGTTTTCTCTGGGAAAATCAGAAAACCGGTGGTAACTCTCGAAGAAAAAACCATTGGCTGGAATCGTTTTAGGCTTTTTATCTGCTCGAGATCTTCTATCGAATGATATATAGACAAAGGAAATTAAAGCGAGACACCTGGAAATGTTTCCTCGTATGAATATTCTCAAAGTTTGAATGAAAATAGTTGCTTTTTTCATAATATTCAAAACTTTCTGATTTAGCTGTTCGATTCTAAAATCTCATCAATGTTTTTGAACATTAAATATTTCAAAAATAAATCAATCATTTCGATTGATACTTTAAGATTAGTCTTACAATCATGAGATTTACAAAATTTCAAGTCGAAAATCTTTTATTTTCTATAAATGCAAAAACTTTTGAATTTATCCTATTCGAGAAGTCTCCTATATAAATCAAAAATAGAAGTTCAAAAATCATGAATCACATCGAATAGTTCTATCATTCAATAAAACTATATAATGAAACGATCCGTGCAGAGTTATAAAATCAAAAATTTGTCATTCGATACTCAAAATAGATCAAATTAAGAATTTTAATTTTGATTAGTTACAATTAAATAGAGTAGATTAAAACTGTCGTATAAATTTCTCGTGACAGACATGATAAAGATCAGTCTCAGTTTTGAAATCATATTATAATCATTAACAATCTAATTTTCATTCATCAAAACAAACCTGCTTTATATTTTTTTAAAAAATCCACATCTTGTTGATGTATAATTTCTGGACTAAGTGGAGTTGAATTTGACTATATAATTAATAAAATAAAAATATAATTATTAAATATATTTGTTGTTGTTTATTTTTATTTTTGTTTGCAAACCTTGGATTGATTTATTTGAAATTGTGATGTAACTGTTGATGATCTTGTATTTCCATTTTGTGAACTATGTCCATTACCATTCAAAAGTCTAACAAGTGTTGAAGATGAATCACCTTCAAAGAAAGCATAATTATAATAATAATAAAAGTTTTCTTTTAAATATAAACCGGATTGTTTTTCATGATTATATTGTATTGAATTACTAAGTATACCACGTACAATTGATTCTGAATCATGTTTTTGACGTGATGATATATCTGTTAATGATGGTGAAGATTCTAATTGAACTTTTTCATCCATTATTATGTCTATCAAAAAAATAAACATAATTAGAACAAATTTGAGAATATTTTTATAAAATTTCTATTCTACCTGAACCATTGCTTTGTGATTTAGTCTTATCATTTAAACGTCTATAACATGCTGTTAATGATTGAATATTATTAATCATATTTGCTAATTCACCATCCATATGTTTATCATTATCCATTAATATTTGTATATAATCTTGTATTGTTAGTGGACGCGTTAATTTTGATACACCAAATATATTTCCTTGTAAATTTAATGGTTGTAATTTATCTGTTGTAAAACACATACTTAATGAAGGAACACATATACGACATTGACCATTTGATGCTGATGACGAATCTGTATCCGTTGGTGAAACTAAAATAACAAAAATAAAAAAAAACAATACAATTTTATTGCAAAAAAAAAAAAAAGAAAATTTAATTTACGAAATTTAAATGATGAACTATTTCCTTTAATATCAGCTGCACATTGATGTTTCCATGCTGTTTGTAATTCATCAAATTGTGATCTTTGTATTGGACTAATAAAATAAAAAGTTGTTAGTACAAGTCATTCAAGAATTAAAATATGAAACACGAATTATAAAAGAGAAAATTAATCAATATATATTGTAATGAGTGATTGCTAAGATATCTGCCATGTTTATAAGGAATAGAGCTCGTCGGATTCAGATTCGAGCTCGATGAACTCTAGTGGAGAGTGAGGTGCAAATTTCAATACTCCTTTTAGATCGTATTTCTCAAAAAAAAAAAAAACAAAAGCATTAATTACTTTAAAACTTCATTTCGAGCTACGATTATATCATGATTTTGATGATCAGATATTAATTTATATTCAGTTTGAAGAAAAACTAATGAACCATCACGTGCATTTAAACGCCATTGTAATTTACTTGAACCAGTTGTTACACCTAAAATATAAAAAACAAGAATTTATTGAAAATAAAAAAAAAAAAAAATTTTTTTTCTATTGTACATTTCCAAAGTGCATGTAATTTAACTAAACGATCTTCATAATAAACAAAATCAAATATTGATTGTGAAAGTATTTCATGTGGTAAATAACCAGTTATTAAAGCACCACGATGATCTTCAAAAATAATTTCACCAATTAAATTCATTTTTGTATAAAATTCTTGTTTATGAATATCATGTAATGTTATATCAATATAAGATGAATCTTCTGATGTTATTATAAGCATTGTAACAACAGAATAATTATGTCGTGTTGTAGTTGAATGAACATCTATTAAAAAAAAAAAAAAAAAAAAACAACAATTTTGAAGAGAATAAAATAAAATAAAAAAATGAAATAAAATTTTAAATTCATACTAGCATTATCATGATTTAATTTTTTCTTTCGATGAATTTTAACTTGACGATATTCATTTGTATTATTTGTCATTATACGAACATAATGCATATCATTAGCTAAAATATAAGAATATTGATTTTGTTTTTTTTTTTTTTCAGATAAAGAAAAATATAAAAATAAACATGAGATAGTTTTCAAATATAATGGATGATCGATCTGGCTTCTGTTACTTGAAATATACACAGTATGAAATTAGAAAATTACATAATCAAAGTATCAAAAATAATTGTTTATTTCTTAATTTTGTTTGAAAGTCCTTCTCATATCGTTTGGAGAATTTGTTTCGATTTTTCATGAAATCTTGTTTTTAATTGCAATTCTATTTTATCCAGATTTTGTTTTTCTGGAAGAGCAACAATCTAAAACTTCGGATGGACAAAAACTTATTTTTTGTCGTAACACCGACACATAGTATGTGATACAATAATGACAAAATCTAGGAGAGTCAACTTAATCTTCGGATAGGCATTGTTCTAGATAAAACATTGGTTTGCCTGATAAGATAATGGTAAATCTGGCTGGACTATTGTATTACATTAGGCAAATGCCATAACATCAATGACTTCTGTAGCATAAAATCAAAGTTGTTTCTAAACAGGATAATTTACTAAATGTTCTAAAAAGTTCAACCTTTAGAATAGTTCTATGCTTCTTGAAATCAAGAGACAAAACCAGAGTTATAATGACAAAGAAGAATTTATCAAAAATTAAAACTAATTAACGTTAACCCTTACGGGATCGGCGATGCACACAGGCGTTTTCCATTCCGAGACGATTCAACTCTTTTAATGTGTACCTACTGACATTGCTGAATGATTTAGCATGAACAACATATATATGCAGTGTACCAGCTTTTGAAAGATCAATAGTGTTGATTAGAAATGAAAATTAATTCCATATTTAATTATTTTACTTTGTAAAAAAAAAAAGAACTTCCGAACAAAATTATGAAAAATGAACGACAGACAATGATTTTCGATACTTTGATTAAGATTTAAATAATTTTAAAAAGATTTAATCGAATATAATTTTTGGAATGAAGTAAAAATTACATCATTAATCTTTATTAGAGAGAAATCAAACGTTTTCAATTATTAGATTAAGTTTTTTTTTTGTTTTCATTTTAGAAAGTCTTTTCATATGTTAATATACATTCTTCCTTATTTCATAATCATTCCATGCTTTTGCATTTTTTTTTTACTTTATTTCATAAAAGAGAATTACGTGAAACGTTATACTACTTTTCAAATAAACTCTTATTGTTAATCTTATTAAAAATTTATATTATTTTCTTTATTACGGTACTTTTCGTAATGAAATCTATAGAATATTCAGTTCTAATATATAATGTATTGTAAATTGAATACATCAAATATAGTGATATGAAAGAATATTATGGATATATTTTCATTAAAAAAAAAAAAAAGAGACAGAAAGAATAGTTTCTATGAGAAGAATACATTCTTTGAAGAAATTGTATTATTGTATCTCGTGATTGTCTTAAAATTTCTACGAGAGAAAAAAGCAATGTAATTTAATACTTGAAATTCATTAGAGTACAAAAATAATTACAATTAACTTAAAGTATAGTGTAAGTAAAATGTTTTTTCAGAGGGTAGTCACTCTGTAGTTTCAAATAACATCGACAACAAATTTTATATTAAACTAAAACGCTTTGAAAAATCGAATTTATCAATACTAAATAGTAAGGAATTAGGAAAATGTTTCAATGTTGATTGATAAAATTGTTAAAATTTTACATCATATCAACAGAGACAAAATTCCTTTCATGAGATAATTCAAACTAGATCTCATTTAAAATAATGAATATCACAAAGTACTGGATGCTTAACTTGAGAATATTGGAATAATAATCAAAAAATAAAATAAAATAAAAGCTGAAGAAATGACATACAATATATTTGGATGAAGAAACTCTAAAAACAAACTTTGACCTTTTTGAAATTATTTTAAATGAGAACTTGTTTAAACTATTTCATGTGAAAGAAAATTTTTCTCTACGGATATGGTACAAAATTTTAGCAATGTCCTCAATTTGTAATTGAAAAATTGCCATAATACATTACTATTTAGTATTGATGAATTCCGTTTTCGATACGCTTTAATTTAGTATAAAATTTTGTTGTTGATGTTATTTGAAATTGCAGCGTGACTATCCACTGGAAAAACATTTTTACATACCCTTTACAGCAACGGATATTAAATTAGCTCAAAAAACATCAGAATAGCTAAAAAGTCATTTTATGTCTGTCATAATTTAAATGTCTTACCAAACAGTATTAATTTTATATCGAAATAAATAATTCTTGAATATTCGAAAAATTCTGAAATGTGACCAAGAACTCAAATTGTTCAGTTCTACACTCTTAGTACCGAGTATCTCAAGACTTATCAGTTTTTATATTTTACTATATAAATGAGAATTACATGAAAAAGTAGAAGTTTTGAAGTTCTGTTAAAAGAAAGAAGATGATATGCTCATTACTAAGGACATGTCAGAAATTAACATTAAATGAGTATGTTCAACATGTTTATTTTTGGTTTTTCAATCTGAAAAATTCAAATATGGATTCTTTAGCTTTACTTCTACCTATATAAAATTTTACATAATTAATAACATCAACGTCAACAAATATTGTTCGAGTTTTTTATTGTGGTTATTGGATATGTAGCTCAAATATTTTCTTAGATAATCATATGTTGATTATAAAATGAGAAAGTAAGAAAAAAGTTGTTTGTCTCTAGTAGGATCTTTCGGGTTGGTTCCAAATCCTATCGAGTCTAGATCCGACAGGATTCTTTTTCCTTTTAACAATCAAATTCTAGAAGTGAATTAATGAACTTCTATCGGCTGTTTTGTTTTACTAAATTAAATAGAAGAATTCAATTGATTCCAACTGGTTTTTTTGTTTGTTTTTTTTGAACCTAATGTATGTCATTCACTAAGTTTTTCATTTGTATGTGAATTATTTTGACTAATATCTTCTTTATATTGATCTCGAATCAATATTTTCTCATTCTATACTTTATACTTTTTCTTATCAAATACTCATGTTATCGTATATGCACGCATCATTTTCATTATAATACACTATCGGTATTTTTTTTTATCTTTGTATTACTAGTCAGCAAAACAAAACCCGAATATAATCCATAATCATGATACTAAAATTTGAGCCTTAATGTTATATCAGAAAAGCCTTAGATAGAATAGCTCGAAGTAAATCTCAAGGTATTATAAAATAGTTTACATTTATATTGTTTCTTCGTAAAAGAACCCATTCATTTTGACAATAATACATGAAATCAATTGAATAGAACTTACGTTGTGATGGACTATTAAGAAATTTTAAAAATGAATCTCTTTCACTATCTTCAATAAGTAATAATATTGATAAACCAACAAGATCTGTCTAGAGAAGAAAAAGAAAAAAGTAAAATAAAAAAAAAATTTCTTTTATTATCTTAATTGAAACTAACTTGTTCAAAACCAAAATAACGTTTGACTGTTTTTGATACACCAATAATAATATGATAACTATCAAGACAAATAAGTATACCCTGCATCGCATCGAGCAATACATTGCCCATTGATTCAAATGGTAATCTATTTTGTTGATGTTGCTGTGCGTATGCAGATGCGGTAACTAAAACAAAATTTTTGGTTTTTTTTTTTTAATAGCATTTATAGAAATGATAAAAATTTAAATATGTCCTTACATTGGTTTCCATCAGACATTAAGGCAACGGCTGCCGCATTGCCTTCTTTATTGTTTTTATTAACGCACGTTTCAATGTTTTATGATCGATGAAATAAAAATGTTAATATAAAGCCAATTAAAAAAAACCAATCAATTAATAAATTTTTAATAAATTTTTCTTAATTATTTTTTCGTTTATTAATCTATTTAATTCTTCTTTCATAGGACATAATATAATTGTCTTTGATAATAGATCATCTAGAAACAAAACAAAAAAGGTTATACTACTTATAAATTTTTCGTTTTTTTAACTATAAAAAAATAAATTTAATCCTACACGTGCAAAACTAATATAATAAAAGCGTCAAGTACATGCCGGTCGATATTTCTCTTTTCTTGTTTCTTTTACTGTGTATACAAGGATGAAGGTAAAAACGAAAGACAAAAAAAAAAGACTCGAATACAAAAAAAAATCGAAAAAAAGAAAACATTTGTTGTTTTTGTCAAATAGTACTTCAACATATATAAAAAAAAAAGGAACAGAAAAGAATAAATAAATGGCAAACACTCGAGGCAATATAAAAATATAAAGATGAGAAAAAAAAAAGAAATTTTAATATAGTTGAAAAAAAATAGCCACGTTTAACCTTTCTTTCTTAACCTAATCGACATATACATATACGTCATTGTATCTGAAATAAACAAAAAGAAAAGACATATAGAATATAAACAATATATTATTATGCATGGTTAATACTATCTTCTAACTATTATCTTAAGCACACCTGAACGTTCGTTTGTTGCGTATGTTGCATTTTTTTTTTCCTTTTTTTCTTTATTCTTTAACCTACAAAAGAAAAATGCTTCAAGTATCAAGACTATCAAACTAAAAAAATACAAACGATAGACACAATTCGCACATTTACGCGTGTGCAAATGTGTCTTTGTTCCTTCTTCTTCCCGTAATTTTTTTTTCTGTTGGTTTCTTTTCTTTTCTTTTTTTTTTTTCTTTGTCGTCATCATCTGGTAAAAAAACACGGATAATGAACGTGATACCAGTCATACTGTTAGACTTCAACATCATTCCGAGACGATTCACATCATTATTTGAATAGAGAAAAAGATTTCTGGTGAATCAGGTGTAATAGTATTTTCAACATACAACTTAAAAAAAGAAAAAGTAGAGCATCAAGTTTGTTTTTTTTTCCATTATCTCTCATCTTACGTAGTCATTGTATATTAGAAGAAGAAAAGATAATTTATGTTCATTAAGTAAATGAGTTCTTAGTAAATTCATAACTGCTTAACGAACATAAGAACTATTACCATAGATTTTAGAGGATTTTTCTGTCATCTTTATACTTATTTAAAGAATAAATACTAGAACAAAAGCATGCGTATGTTATATGTAGCTTTTTTTATTCGTTAAAATGTAAAAATAAATGAGACACATGAATATTTGAAGGAAAAGAAAATGGAAGTGACATCATGCAGAATAGTATTTAATATTAAACAGACATTTTTTCAAAAAATAAAAAAAAAAAATAAAAGTCTACAGAATATTATTAAGAAGATTGTTAATAATAATGAAAAAAAAAAGAAGACATTCTATTTCTTTTTTTCCTATTCAATAACACCTCAAAATTTATTGTGTCAACTATTCGATACTCTGCTGACAATCATAATGAATTATTTATCAAATGATGAATATCGTTATTAATATAATTTGACAGATATATAAAACAGTTAATTGTGATTGAAATGCCTATAATAATATAATAGTTTAAAATAAAAACTAAAAATCTCATTTACTTGCATGTTATAAACATCGTTTATTTTAACGAAAATCTTATGATATTCGAAATAAACCATAAAAAACTACATGATAAATAATAGAAATATCTCTACTTCGATTCAATCAAATCAATTGAATTTTCTTTTTCCCATAATACAATAAAGAGATTAATTTAAAATTTCTTGTATTCATACAAATAACAAAAAACAAATAAATAAATACTACTTTGAAGTATAATTATTTTTTTCAATAAAGATATAGAACTTATTGTTTAGTAAGAAAAAAGTCATGTGATATGATCCATAGATAATTTTACCTAAGGCAATCATAAGAAAAAAAATCAAAAATAAAATTAATTAAGGATATCATATTGATGTAAACTTTTTCAGGTCAATTAATTTAAACATTCAAATATCCAAATATATAATAAAATCCTTTAGGAATTGATTCATTAAATTCACTTCTAAAAATCTAAATTGCAAAAAACAAAGTAGTATTCTTAATATTAACTGTTTCGAAACTCTTTACTCTATATATATCAATATGTGATATCATTAACTAATTTTGTTTTGATTTCTTCTTATGATTATATCAATTAAGAAATGAAAATTATCTATAGGTCATTATTAGATATGACTGAAACCACCTGGCCCATATATAGACATTCTCTAATGTATTTTTCTTAGTTAACAATAAGTTGCTTTGCTTTACTGACAACAATAATCATACTTCAAAACTACTAGTTCTTGTTTATGCTATGCATATGAAAGAAAACATTCGATAGGCTTCTTTATCATTAATGAAAAAAAAAATCAGCCTGATTGATTAAACTGAAAAATGGAAATATTCTAATATTTTTTTTTTCTTTGACTTATAATCTAACTTATGTATGAAAAGGAGACAAATGAAAATCTTTTATTTTATTTTTTTCAATATATTTCATTCTGAATATATTTAATAAATAGAATATCTAATTCATATTATTTTTTTTTTTTTGTTATAAATATTTTCATTTCTAAACCATACAAATTCATAGTCTTACTCATAAAAAGTAATTTTTTCATTATTCATAGAAGAAAAAAAAAACCGATAATTTAATTAGACATTATAAATTCAATATATTAAAAGTTTAACACCATATCAAAAAACAAAATATGTGTATCATTCATTTTCATTTAATATATTGAAAGAATATCAAAATAACAATATATAATGATGTGAAAATATTCATTCAATTTAAAAGACTAAGATATTCAAACAAAAGCAAATAAATATAAATAATAAATTTCTAATTATTAAAAACAAACAAAAATTCTCGAGTAAATTATTGTTTTTTTTTTTTCTCATATGAAAAATCCTTCATAGGTTATAAAACTTCTATATCAGTACTAAAAAATTCAATACTCGGATATAATACTTTGTATCTAATTATTTCAAACTACAGAACATATGTATAAACTTTCCTTCTATTAGGTCTGAACCATGTTAAAGATAATCTATAGATTATCTAATCTTCAATATAAGATTCTATTTAGTAAAAAATAAAAATTGGTAAAAAATATTATGATCATTGAATTATCAAAAAACTTACATAGTTTATAAATTAGATTCGTCGTTGAATGATTATATTACTATATACACAATATAGAAATCATAAATGAAATTTTACTCTAATATTAAACATAATTATTTATTTGTATAATAGAAATAAAATATGAAAATTGAAATATAAAGATTTTCTTTTCAAAAAAATCAAAATTAGATCAATTCTGAAATAGAATAACTAAAACGTAGGCATGAAGTAAGTAAGTAGTAGTATGTACTCCTTGATTCGTTTTTTTTTTTTCTTCTCTACCATACTCACGTGTAGACGAATGAATAATTAATCAGTAGATAGATATTAATAATTAGAATAATTTGAAAATTTTTTATTTTATCTTAAGATTTATTTAGAAAAATTTTTGAAATAAAATTTTACAAAATTTCTATAAATACTATTGATTATAAAAGAGAATTAGCGACATCTCTGTAAAGTGTTTTATAAATAAATAGTATTCGATAAAATAAATTTCGAAGAAGAAAAAAAATTTTCACTAAAATTAAATCAATTAGTTGATAATTGTTGAATTAGAAAATATCTAAATTTTTTTATGACTCATTGAACATTCAATGTCAAATAAAGTGGTTTTTTTTTTCAAAAATGATTATGATTTACTTTCATCCGAAACATTAAAACAAATTTTTATTATGTGATATTCATGATTTTCGTATTATGTGGTTTTTAATAATTGAGTTTTAATTTTTTGTTTTTTATTTAAAGATTTTTATCTATTTAAAATCATGTTGAAAGCAATAATTCTAATTGGTTCTCCTCAAAAAGGTAAATTTGAATTTTATATTTGTTTCTTTGATTGTCTATTTCAATTTATTTAGGTACTCGTTTTCGTCCATTATCATTAGAAATTCCAAAACCATTATTTCCTATTGCTGGTCATCCAATTCTTTATCATTTAATTGAATCATGTGCTCAAGTAAGTTTATTTTTATTTAATATTTAAAAACAAAAACAACAAATAGACTTTATTTGAATAAATAAAGTTACGTGAATTACGTGAAATTCTTCTTATTGGATGTTATCAACCAAATGAAGCTCTTTCACGTTTTATAGCAAATGCACAACAAACATTTAATACATCAATTCGGTAAGATTAATAATAGTATTTAAATAAATAATTCATTTTTTTTTTATAGTTATTTACAAGAATATGCATCATTAGGTACAGGTGGTGGTATTTATCATTTTCGTGATTTAATTAAATCAAATTTATCGGATAAAGATGTATTTTTTGTAATTAATGGTGATATTTGTGCAGATTTACCATTAGTCGAAATGCTTCAATTTCATCGTGAGAATGTTGGAGAAAAAGGTTTTACTATTTTAGGCACCGAGGTTAGTCATATAATGATATTTTCAAAGTTTATTTTTCGAGAATATGAAACTTGTTGTTTTTTGTTTTTTGAACTAATGAGTATACATTTGGATCATTGATCAAATATTTTTCGAAAGATATCAACAGTTTTTTTAAATTTTTTATTCTCTGAAAAATTTTCTTCAGGCTACTGAAAGACAATCAACAAATTATGGTTGTATAGCATGGGATAAACAAACTAATGAAGTTAAACATTATGTCGAAAAACCATCAACATTTGTTTCAACAACAATTAATTGTGGTGTCTATGTATTTACTAAATTTATATTTCAAATATTATCTGAAACTTATCGAAATAATCAACAATTATATAAGTAAGTTTAATTTTACCAAAAAAAGAATTATATATCGATTGAATTTTTTTTAGTGAATCGATACCTATTTCTCAGTAAATTATTTATGTTGTTTTCATTCACCTTTTTTTTCTGCATGTATTTCCCCTTTTTTTTTTTTGTTTTTTTTCGTCCCATGAAAAAAGCAAAAATAGACGCTTTCTCATAGCATTCTTCAGACTTAAGAAACGGAAAACTATCAAACGATTAACCGCTTGTTTTAATTTATGCATTGAGTATTTTAAAAAACAAATTTTTTTTTTATTTTAGTGATTCTTCATCAGCATTTACAAATTATGATTTGGGATTTTCTCGTGAAAATATTCGTTTAGAAAAAGATGTTCTTTCAAAATTAGGAGTATGATTTTAAAAAAAGAAGCAATTCTTTTTTCTTTATTTAAAATATTCTTTAGGGTACTGGTCAATTATATGTATTTCCAATGGGAAATAAATTTTGGACATCAATTAAAAATCCAAGGTAAATACATTCATGTAAATTATTTTGATTCTTAAAGAAAAAAAGAGATGTTTTTTTTTTTTTTGTAGTTCAGTAATTTATGCAAATCGACATTATCTTGAACTCTATCGAATGTATCATCCCGAACGTTTATATAAACAAAACGATTCTAAAGGACCAACAATTGTATGAAAATTTTTTTGTTTTTTAAATAAATTTAATAAAAACAAATATTTTATAATATAGATTGGTGATGTATTTATTCATCCAACAGCATGTGTTGCACCATCAGCTGTGGTGAGAAGAAAAAAAAATGTTTTTTTCTTGTATTCAAATGATTTGATTACGAAAGTTTTTTTTTTTTGTAGTTAGGTCCAAATGTATCAATTGGTCAAGATGTAACAATTGGTTATGGTGTACGTGTAAGAGAATCAATTATATTGGGCAGTTGTGTTTTACAAGTATGAATATTTATTGTTATTTTCAAATTTCTCATCAATCAAAACATTTGTTCATTTAGGATCATTGTTGTGTTCTTTATTCAATTATTGCATGGAATTCAACTGTTGGACCATGGAGTAGAGTTGAAGGTACACCAAATGGTAAGTTAATGAAGTTTATTAGAGAATAAAAACAAAAATATAAATGTTTTTATTAGATCCTGATCCAAATAAACAATTTTCAAAAATCGAACAAGATTCATTATTTCAAGATGGAAAACTTCATCCATCTATTACAGTTATTGGTAATAAAATGAAAAAAAAAGAAACATTTTATTTTTTTTTTTGAATAAATTTTATATTTTTTAAGGAAATAATGTATCAATTCCAGGTGAAGTTGTTGTTCTTAATGCTGTTGTATTACCACATAAAGAAATTGGATCAAGTTCAAAGAATCAAATTATTTTATAAAACTTTCATCGTTTTCTTTTATGAATCTCTTTATTATTAGGTTTTTCTTTTCTTTGATATAATTATTACTGTGCGGTTATTCTTTATTTTTTTTTTCTTATTAAATATATACTGTTCATTTGGGCTAATTGATTTTAATAAATTTGTTTTCATAATTAAAAAATAAAAACTATTTGATATATGAAATATATTTATTATAATTTGTATTAAAGAATAACAAAGACTATGTTGAATTATTTGAGATCAAACTAGAGACTTGTACAAAAATGAATGCATTATAAATGAATACAAATCATTTATTTACTGATTAGCTTATCTTTTAGTAAACATATTAAACAATGATCATTGCTTGTTTTAGTTTGTCATCTATACCTAATGATTGATCTCTATAAATTGTCCTGATTTTCTATCGTAATAAATTTCATATTTATAATTATTAAAAAAAAAAACAAACAAACTTTTCACATTCGATGCATACATATCAATTGATAACACTTGAAAGTTAATAGTAGCTTCACATTCTTAAATTACCTCAAAAAAAAAAAAACATAACCTACTGTTTTTTTTTGTTTGATTTAATTAAATCAAAGGAATTGAATAGTCAGTTTTATTTAATATGGAAAATTAATACATTCACTTAAGGTTAAAATATAACCTTCAAGCACCTATAGAAATTCGCTTTGATTTCCAAAGCAATTTTATTTTAATAATGACCTAATCATTGAGACAACAACCTTCATCATTTTATATATATGTTGAATAGATTAGAACATTTTTTTTTTTTTCATTTATCGTCAATAAATACCTGTTATATGAAAATATTAATTACAGCAAATAGTTTCTTATTATTTTCATTGATCATATTCGTTTTTTTTTTCTTTACGTTTCAATGAAACAAAAAATTTTTCTTCTTATATTAAAAAAAAAAAAAAAAGAAAAGAAAACCAGAAAATGAATACAATTATATTTTTCTTTTTTTTTGTCTGTGAAAAAAACAAACAACCCTGAGGATATAATTGAAATAGATAATAAAAGAAACAAAAAAGAGAGAGAGATGAGAAAAATAAAATAAACATCACAAGCTAGAACAAAAAGAAACGTAAGAGAACTGTTTTATTTCATTCAACTGTTCACATAGATCTACATAGGAGAAAAAGAAATAGACTAAATTTCTACAAAGCAAAGTCAAATAAATTATCCCATTCAAAATCAGAACAATAAGGTGTACGAATATATGCTGTCGGTGATATTGAAAGTGGAGATTTTGTTAAAATAATATCTAATAGATCTTGTTCTGATTTTCGATAAATTCTTGGACTATGTTCAATTCCTAGATATAACACAGAAAAAAAAAAAGAAACTCTTAAAATAAACTCATGAAAAAGCATTAAATTAAAAGTTAGTTTTAACACTCGAATACTTTTTTTTCTATATCGAAGATTTATTTTTATTCAAATAAAGAAGAAAACACCAAAAACAAGATTGATACATACGTCTTAGAAATCTTTTACTAGAAAATTATTGATGATATTTTTACTTTTTCTTTGTTGTTTTTTTTTTTTTTTTGTTGTTTAAAAATTTTTTCTTTTACCTGCTTCATGTTCCCATTCAAGTTGAGCATCTAATAAAATACCATCATCAAGTTGCTTATCAAGATTAGATTGTGTCATCTGAAAATATTTATTGTTATATATATATGAGGTTATTGAATTTGACACATACTTGAGAAATTTTGTTCTCATTGTTACTATCAGAAGAATTATAAATGAGATTCAAAATTGAAAGATATATGAGCATATATATATATACAAAAATTGTTTTTCTTTTCTTACCTGCTATGTGTGTCATGTCCATCTGATTTCTATACATAAGAAAAAATTAACATTTACAAATAACTCTTGAAAATTCATGAGATATATGAGAATATTAGTTCTTTTTTTTTATCTTTTAATCTAACTACTTAATTCAAATAAATAATAGGTGTACCATTGAGTACACTCGAGACATGAATAGTATCTCATCAACAATTGATGAAACAATTCTATTCAAGCGAAAAAAAAAAGGCTGAGTAGAAAAAAAAAAAAAGGAGGAAAAGGAAAAAGAAGAAAAAAGTGAGAGTTATTCTTTCTACATACTTGGTGGCAACCGTCTTGACCATTTTTTTTAGTATTACGGTTCGTCGTATTATTACCGTCACATTTGATTTCCATACACCAATGACTATAAAAAGACGTAAATGAGAGAGATGAGATGCAAGACATACACACATATTTATATATAGTCTTATAAGAAAAGTAAACCTTGAACTGCATATATATATGAATGAACTCGATAAGAAATTCGTTTCTTCATGATGCAATAAGAATTTCATTGAACGAACAAAAAGAAAAAAACCAATTTCAAACATAATTTGTTCTTTATTAGAAATCATTATTTATTAATAACTTACCGAAGCAAATATTTCAGCATTCTTCTATAAGTAGAACGTACAAGTGATAAAGACATTATTCGTGTTCAATAAAAGATTATATCTCATCATAGATATGACATGATCATTGGTTAGACTTGATAATGATATCATCGATCTAAAAAAAAACAAAATCAAAAATATAATAGACGTCTAGTATGATTGGTGTCATATGTAATAAGATGCTGTCAAACATTTAGTCGTCTATTGAAGTCTATATATATATATATATAATATTAATCGAACAACAGTTGTCTTCATCTTCACATTTACTCAACGACAATCATAAAGTATGAGCGAAAAGACGAAATAAAAAGAAGAAGAACATTACATCGATGTTATACAACTTTGACAAAAGCATGAATCCCTTAAACTAATTGTGTCGAAAAGGCGTTTGCTTCTCTTCTTTTCTTTACTCATTATAGATCAAGACAAGAAAAAAAAAAAAAGAAATAATTGAGACAACTTACGGTAACGATAAACGTTCTCTCTATTTCTTCTTTTTTTACTTAAAGAACAATAATCCTTCTTGTATGTGTCATCTTCATTTTATCGAAAATCAAAATAAAAAGAGAAAAAAAAGAAAAAGAAAACGAGAAGCTCTAGTACTAAAACATGAAGAGTTGAGTTAAATTGACTATACACTCAATACAACACGATTGTATTTGATGATGAACGAGGAAGGAGAACAAGCAGAAAGAACAGAGCTCACCTTTACCTTTTTTTTTCCTCTCTTCTCAGAGTAACTAAGGTTACAATGTAAGGACGAAGAAAGAATATATTATTCCTACATTCAACAACTGCTATTGACGGAAAGAGAGATATTTGAATAAATACTCGATCGTTTTATTTTGTTTAAGTTTTTGAATACTTAAAAAGAACAATTATAAAAATCGATGTATGAGACAAGACAATTGTTACATATCTATGAGATTTTTCCTATGCAAAAAAAAAAAACAAAATAAATAATCCAATCAATTGAAATTAGAATAAATAATAAAACAAAATGATTTTTACGTGTAATAGACAACATATTAATATTTTATTCTGTTTTTTTTTTTTATTTTAAACTAATATATTCGTTATAATATCCTCTTTTTCTAACCTTGACATATTTAACATTTTGTTATTCTTAGATACAAGAATGAAATACTTGTCCGGATGTACGTGATTGAACTTTGAGATTTTAGACGTTCATATATAAGAGTTTCTTTCTTTTTTGTTCAAATCTAGGATATAATATGGAATTCTTATTCTTAAAATAAGATCATTGTTAAAAAAGCTTATTAAGTTGTATTAACTATAGTTATGTCAAGTTCAATTATATGATTAGAAAAAAAAAGTCCTGTAAGCGACTTAGATTTTTACATTATCTTTTCTTTTCTTTTCTTTTTTTTTTAGTTGGTTCAATTAGAATAGTTATTGAAATATAATATTTTACTAAATATGATCTTCATATGTAAATTACTTGAAATATTCTACATAATAGTATTCTAAAGATAAAAAAAAAATTTAGAATAACATATTAAATTGAATGCATGACAAGAAAGAAATTTGATTGAAGAATGAAATTTTTTTTTTTTTTTTGAAATTTTATATGGTAAATACAAGATTAGTAAATATGTCTTTTCTATTATATTCTTGTTTAATCATGAAAAATTTAATAAACAAAGAAACAAAAAAATATTTGTTAGCAATCAATGCTAATGTAACTGTTGTTGTAGTAAATATAAACACGATTGACTTTTTCTTTTGTCAGTATGATGATTGGTTGTACACACTTTGACCTATGGTTAAGCTCTTTATATCATAGAGATTAAACTCAAAGTGAACATAAGATGTTTTTCGATGAAAAGGGGATGGCCAATCTGACCTAATACTTCAATTCTTCTTTTTAACTGCACAGCTTCTATTACATATGAGAAACATATGATTTTTTTAATACTGATAATGTGTTATTTGGATTAAATCCTCACACAATGAAAGGTCTTACACCTTCTATTATGTTTTAGCGTATAAACTTTTTACATGAATCTTCTAGTATTAATCTCCTATCCACAAATGATTGAATATCCTTATTACATTTTAGTTTAGTTCATTATGATTATGTTTCAAATAAAAAAACAAAAATAATTATAGTTGAATTTCATTTTTTTCCTAAATTGAGCTGTTTCATTTTGTTGTTGTTATTAATGACGTTTAACAAATGTGAGTTCTCATTTTTTTTTCAACCATTAGCTTTTTTCATGATATTCTTTTTCTTTATTAAAATGAAGTCTAATATTAATCGTTTTTGTCTTTGCATCATTTTTAGTTCTCTATTTTTCACTTTATTCATATGTAACTTTTATTCTACAATAAATACGATTCAGCAATATTTCAACAAAAAAAAAAAAAAAAGGTTAAAAAGATTTAAGCGAAGGATGTTTTTTTTTGTTATAAGACTCAAGTCTTCTATTATGAGAAGATCTGTTAATATATGAGAAGGTTTATATATATATACCTTATTCGAAACGAAAATAGTAAAGCATTTTCATAAAATTTCTCAGTAAAATACATCTTTATGTTTATCGACTAAATGAATTTTTTGTACGGAGGAAAGATTTAGCAATTAATAATACATTTGAAGAGTTTATGTGTCAACAATAAATAAAGACAAATATATTTATAATTAGGATATAGATATCTTTAAGATATATGAGTCACTGTTAGAGAGACTACTCAAATGATTTATTTCAAGGTATTGCCCTGTTTCAATTGTATCATTTTTATTCTACTGTCAATTTTCTTTCGTTCGTTATCTGACTTTCAAGTATTTTGTAATGTTCTCTTTATTACAAACTAAATAGGATTGTCCTCAGTGTCAAGTTATTATAAGCGATCATGATAAATTATTTTTATTTCGAACAAGATATATAACCGAAACAATACTAAATAATCAGTGCTATAAACTAATAAAAAAAAATCATATATTTCTGATGTAATATAGAAGCTGTATGATAAAGAAAAAACGATTTGAACTATCAGACCAGATTGGGCACCCCCTATGTGTATTTCGTACTTTGCAATAAGAAATTATTTGCACATATATCTTATTAGTTAGGAAAATTGTACATTGGTTTCTTACCTTTCATATACCAAAAGATGTAGCTAATTTTTCTCTACAAAATGATTAGAAATGATCGATAGTTAAAGTAGATAGAGAATGAAAATCAGATACGTTAATTTAATATAGATATTCAATTTTTACAGTTTTGGCTAAAATAGTTCTAGTGTAATGTACTGTTCTTTCTTATGATTCAAGTGATAAGGTTGGAACTTTCCTGGAAATAGCTCCTGAAAATTCTCTACAAAATGAGCTAATTTTGATTTAAATAAAAATGATCCAAGGAGCTCAACCGGTCGGGCATATTTTAGTTAATTGAACATAGGTTTCTATGAAGATTTTGTTAGAAAAATTGCTTGATAATTATATATTAACACTAAATATGTAATTAATCAACTAACTAATTTTGAAACTACAGAGGATTCCAAAAAGATGGCATCTGCCAACAAATTTTGCAAACAACAAAGTTTTCTCCAACTAAAGAAGGTTTCATTCTCGATCTAATGTCATGTCTATGGACACATAGTAGCAGTCTTTCGTCTGTGATATAATCTCAGCTGTTTCATAATTATAGCGCCTTCTTCCTAAATATAAAAATATTGAATTAATACTAGTTTTGTCAACTCAAATGGTTCTTTTTTAGCATCCATTCGAAAGAAAGAGACACTCAGCTACATGTTGAGAAAAAAGATCTTCGAAATCTAATTTAATTTTTCTGCCGTTTAAGAAATTCAATGGTAGAAAAATTAAATCTCAATATTACTATTATATAGTTCAAGAAAAATGAATTTTCACGCCTTTAATGTAACAAAATGGGATTTAAATTATACCACTGGAAAGAGCATCACAAGTTGCATAAACTACATATGTTCTGACAAAAGATTTTGAAGGTCTTGGTAATTATGAAATGATATTCTAAAACTCTTATTTTTTATCTAAGAATATCAGTAGAAAGACCGCAAAAATTCTACACAAGATAGGGTGTTTGCCTTGTTGTCGCAAATTAGTTCCAAAAAAAGGTTGAAAACATGCCTTTTTTTGATTCCTCGAACTGTTCTCCCTTTTGCAGCAGAATGAGCCATCGGTTTATCTACTTTATGAGACCATGTTTTCAAATTTTTGCGGAATTAACTTGCAACAATAGGAAAATAGTCTATCTTTTGTAGAACTTTGTGCTCTTTCTACTGATGTTCTGAGAATTTGAACATTCTGTTGTTGAGTTTTGATTCATCAATAGACCTTTAATTATGTTTGATTATTAAAAGAAATAGATTTTTCTAGATTTTATATACTAGACATATCATCAAACACATCCTCTACCTACTTTAATCTATGGATCATTTCTAACTATTTTATGAAAGAAAATTAGCTGCATCTTTTGATGTATGAAAGCTAAGAAATCAATGTGCAATTTTTATAACTAATAAGATATAGGTATCATGATGGGAAAATACATGTAAAATGAAAACACCCTCATCCGAAATATCAACATTATACTACGAAATTTTATAGAAAAATGCACAGACCTATGTAAAAATATGCAAACTTCCTTTTTTTTACACTCATTGGAACATTGTGTAGGAGGATGTCAGATTTGTTGACTTATCCGGCAGTATCCTTTCTAATGCATCTAGTCTCAAATTCTATTTATGGAAATTTTTACCTAATTATCTGTTATTTATCTTAATTATAATTTGCAGATGGCGATTTATCTTATGAATTCATAGAAATGATTGTACATTTTGATTAATCCTCAGCATGTGTCTTGGCAATTATTCTACGTTAGAAAGATCTAGCGGCTAGGTAAAAAGAACATGATGATAATATGATATGAAATAGTTTTTCTAGATTGATAAGAACTATTAATACTTCACACGAATTTACTGTTGGGTTTGAGGCCACCCTCCCCACCTCTCAAAAATCGATTTTCGCATTAAAACACGGGAAGTAGGCTGCAATTTTCAGGATATGTTAGGTCTATGATGGAGAAGCTGTCGTATAATTTTCAGCCCGATGTCATGTTATTTGACAAAGATATACACCGAACAAGGGTGAAAAATAGCTGATTTTGTATCAAAAAGTTCTCTGTCCCGAATGCTTTGATATATTAAAATTGTTTTTTTTTTGTTTGAAAGAACGCGTCAAGATGCAGAGCATGACGTTGTCCCTTTTTACTAACCTCTTGATTTTTACATGGATAAGGTTATTGACAAGTTGAAGGCCTAAAAAACTCTCTAAAAATGATTTCTTTTAAAACATACGCGCCTATATTTATAAGAAAAGTAAACTCAATTCAAAAAAAGGACAACGTCATGCTCTGCATCTTGACGCGCTCTTTCCAACAAAAAAAAACAATTTTAATATATCAAAACATTCGGGACAGAGAACCTTTGGATACAAAATCATGAAACCATAAATCGAGAAAAAGCGAAAAACATTTTTCGAAGTGGATTTTTACAATTTTCTTCGCGCTTTTACGCATTTTTTGCGAGATTTGAAGAGAACAATCGTAAATTGTCGTTTTCTTTTAAATATGTATAAATAAACTTCTTTTGAGGCTTACCGAACTTATTCTCCACGACATGAATATAGTAGGTTTGGTGGTAGGTTATCATTTACCATAAATTGTGGTTCCCTAAATTACTTCCTAAATAAGTTCCCTATTTGTGTTCTTCAATCAAATAACAAATTTCTGGTGACCCGAAAAGTATTTTTTTCATGCAACCTAAAGATGAGGGTGAAAAAAAGGGTGTGTTGTTATATATATTATCACCAAGAAAATCCCTAAATTAAGCTGGTCACCAGAAGTTTTTTGATTGGTTTAACAGCCATAAATAGGGAACTCATTTAGGGAACCACAATTTAGGGCAAATGATAATCATTCGGTTTGGCTGAAAATGTTATACTAAAATCCACTATGAGTTGTTTCAGCCTTGTTTTTATTAAACAGTTTTGTTCACATATGATCGTGTTGTATAAAAAACTTTTTAAATAAAGCTTTTTTTTTGTTGTCGACCAGTCATTTCAATTTCTCATTACTATTAGGCGCATTTAAATTTTTTTATATAGCACGATGAAAGTTATTAGAATGCCCATGCGTTCCATTGAAATGTGTAGTTTCTACGAAAATATGTCAAAACTCGTTTTTTCCTGAAAAAACCGCATTTTTATGCAGAGGATGCAAGACATCATCGAAAGTTTTGGTCAAAAACGAGTCATTAGATAAAAAAAACTATAGTGTCTCTGAAAGAGCAGAAGATGGACCATCTTCCCATGCATTTATCTCAGTTTTCATTTTTTTTACGACAACTGACTTTTTTCGAGGGGAGGGGGAGGTGGCCTTAATAAAAGAAATCTCCCAACTAATAAATCACTTTTGAGTCGAGACTACGTACATTATGTAGATCTAAATGAGCTATGAATATCCTGAAAAGAGTTCGTGTTCTTAACTTGATACTACGTCGACACTACATTTTTAAAGTTTGTTTTAGCAGAATGCTATGGTTCCAGTCAGGAAGACTAGAAAAACTAATTTTCGAATTTGGACTTGAAACTTTGTATAGATACAGACCTTAACGAAAATAGTTTATTGTGAACGTTTCAACTCTTTTGATTTGCTTCTATTCTAAAACAAGAAACATCGAATCTGCCGATGAAGTTGAGCGATCTACAAGGCATATTTTTTACTACAGCTACATCTTCGAATAGGAATAAATCAAAGATCTTAAATATTCACAAAGAACTATTTTCGTTAAAATCTCTCTCTATGAAAAGTTTCAAGTCGAAATTTGAAAATTAGTTATTCTAGTGTTCATGAGAGGAACCATGTCTTTTGATTTAAAAAAATCCCTCTACACAATACATGCAGTCTTGGTTTAAAAGCAATTTATCTATCAGTTGGGAGACTTCCCTTCTAAGATAAAAAAAATTTTAGCAAGTTTTTAAGAATTATTTTTTAGATATTAGAATTATATTCATTTGTTACTGTAAAACATACTTCCAGAATGATGCACAAATGATTCCAAATTTTTTAAATGTCAACATCTGGTGACATCTACATGATTTGGATATTAGCAATTCGTCACAGACCTCCATATTCTATACAAGTAGGATGGATGAATTTTTCAAAACATGGTTCATTTATAATACAAAATTTATGTAATAACAAATTTTTAATAAAATTTTTAGATAAATATCTTCTATTCGAAATCAAATGACCAACGATCAACCAGGTAAGTTTAATGATTTTCTTTTTTATTTAATTGAAATGAATTTAGATCGAAATAATCGTCGTTCCTCTCGATCTCGTTCTCGTGATCGTAAATCATCACGTCGTCATCGTGATCGTTCACGTGAACGTGATAATAAAGAACGCGATAATAAAGAACGTGATAATAAACGTCGACGTTCACCAAATGATAATAACAATAATAATAATAATAATAATCGAAATAAACATAGTCGTTCACGTTCACCAAAAGAACGTCCAAAAAAAGAAAATAAAACTGAAAAAAAACCAATTCGAAAATATAAATATTGGGATGTACCACCAGCTGGCTTTGAACATATTACACCTGTTCAATATAAAGCTATGCAAGGTTAAATATCAAAATAATAAAAAAAAAAAATTGTTTTTTGTTCTCATTAATTGATTTCTTTTTTTGTTAGCATCCGGTCAAATTTCTCAAATATTTAGTGGAAAAGATTGGAGTGCAAACACTGCTGCAGCTACACCCGTACTTGGTAGTCATGTTGTTCATCAATCACGGCGATTATATGTTGGAAATATTCCATTTGGAGTTTCAGAAGTAAGGAAATATTTATAGAACAAAAAAAAAAAAACGAAAATGTTTATTTTTTAGAATGCAATGATGGATTTTTTTAATCAACAAATGCAACTTACTGGTTTATCACAAACAGAAGGAAATCCAGTTATTGCTGTTCAAATAAATCTTGATAAAAATTTTGCTTTTCTTGAAGTAAGTTATTTTGGTTTTTTATTTTTTTTTTTTGTATTTATATATATCAAATTTTAGTTTCGTTCAATTGATGAAACAACAGCTGCTATGGCATTTGATGGAATTGTTTTTCAAGGACAATCACTTAAAATTCGTCGACCACGAGATTATCAACCAATGCCAGGAGGAGGTGACCAACCAAATACGAATGTACCTGGTAAGTTTTAAGATAAATAAAAGAAAGAATTTCTCTTTTTTGTTTTGTTTTTAGGAGTTATTTCAACTGTTGTTGCTGATTCACCATTTAAAATATTTCTTGGTGGTTTACCTAATTATTTAACTGATGATCAGGTAGGTGGGAATTATTTGTTTTTACTTCGATATTGACTTTATATGAAAACCAGGACCGTCCCGAAATATGAAAAAGATTGATCATGAAAAGATAATTGTTTTTTGATTTTTGTTCGTTTAAATTATCTATATCGAAAGGAAGATTCTTAATTCATAAGTAGGGCATTGAGTTTAGACGAAAATTCTAAAAATGTTCATGTTCCATTGACTTTTATTCTTGTCTTATGGTCATTTTATTGAATTTTAAGCATAGTACGTAAAAAAAACCCAATAAGAAGTTTCCATCTGAATGTTTTAGTGTCAATTTTAAAGATATGGAATATCTAAAAAGTGGACTATGAGAAAGAAGGTTATGTGTTATCGGAAAAGAGAAGCATATGTTTAAGTTGAAACTTGCAGAATATAATAAGTACTATTAAAGTGTATTATGGAGAAAAATTTTCTGATGAACAATTTTTACTACGAGTTTTTTTTGCATTATGCTTAGAATTCAGTAAAATGACCATAAGTCGACACGAAAGGTCTCAGGATCACGAACATTATTAAAGTTTTCATCTAAACTAGAAATTCTATTTATGAGTGAAATATAAACTCAGAAAGAAGATATTAATTAGAGAAGTTTTCTCGTTAGCTTCTTTACAACATTAAAGACTTAAATAATATTTTGAATTTCTCGATCTCTTAATTAAAATTTGATTTGATTGAAAACCTACATTTTACGATAAGAGAGTTATAAAAAAAATATATAATATTTTATTTTTGAAATCATGTTCTACTAGCAATGTTTATGAAATAGAATAATATGAAAAAATTGCAATGAATTTCTATCTTCTGCTTGCAACTTAAATTAGATTAATATTAAGAGAATCCACCTCCTTCCTTTTTTGTGACCGTTCTTGAAGAATCGATCCAGTTGAAAGCACTAAAAATAACCAAACATGTGTTCGAGCAAAAAAAAAATTGCGATTTTTTTCTGGGAAACCGTGATTTTCATCGAGCCGCATTCTGATTACTTACAACTCTCATCAAACTTTAGAGGCGGATTATCCTTAAGGGAAGTCAACAATTGAGTTCAACATTGAATAATAAAAATAAAAATTTGCAATGTTTTTCTTTCGAGACGGTCCTGAAAGACTCAATAATAGTGAGAAAAAAAAATATAGAAAAGCTGATTTTTTTCATCTTGTTGTTCTAGACTAGGTCAGCGATGATGTGTCGAGCATTTGGTTAAATAATTATAAAAAATAAAAACTAATCTATTCTCGCTCGGCACGCATCTAGAACAACGAAGAAATCGACATACATCTATTTCCCGTGAGTTCGATTTTAGATAATCAAAACAACAAATATATATACATATTCAGTTTCAATTCCAAATTTATATATGAAAAAAAAAAAAAAAAAACACCAACAACTAAATTCTTTATTTTTTTCTCGTTTAGAATTTCTTTTAGAAATTTCTCTTTTTTAGTCTTTAGATAATTCATGGTTGGGTGGATTGCTTTTTTTTTTGTTTTGTTTTTAGATTTAATTGGAAAAGGATGTTTATATATATATATATGAAAAAAGATTAAAAAAAAAGGAAACAAAGTTTTTTTATTTTTACTTATTCCCTATTTTTAGCATTGAATTATTTGTCAAGAATAGATTTGTTTTATATAATGTTTTTAGGTCAAAGAATTATTAATGAGTTTTGGTCCATTAAAAGCATTTAATTTGGTTAAAGATGGAGCAACAGGACTTTCAAAAGGATATGCTTTTTGTGAATATGGTGATCCTAATGTTACAGATGCTTCTATACAAGGTCTTAATGGTATGCAATTGGGTGATAAAAAATTAATTGTACAATTAGCTAGTGTTGGTGCTAAAAATATGCCTGGAGTAAGTTTTGAAATAATTATTTTCAAAGAACAAAAATAATCGATTTTTCTTTATTAAGGTACCTGGTATGATAGGTGTACAATTACCTGGTATGAATTTATTAGCAGCGACTGTAAGTACAGAAGTTTTATGTTTATTAAATATGGTTACTGAAGAAGAATTACGTGATGATGAAGAATTTGAAGGTAAATATTTTATTTTATTTTATTTTATTTTAATTAAATTTTCTTTTCTATAGATATTATGGAAGATGTACGAGAAGAATGTAGTAAATATGGTTTTGTTAAAAGTTTGGAAATTCCACGACCAATTCAAGGTGTTGATGTACCTGGTGTTGGAAAGGTAATATCATTGAATGATAATATTTTTGATCATCGACTTTTTTTTCAGTATTTATTTAACATTACTATTTGTCAATAAAGTCCTAAGTTTGACTTTGTGATGTTCGCCACTGTCAATCAGAGTAATTAAAGCGAGTTAAAAAACAAAAAATAGTTGGATATTTTTTAAATAATTGGTGATAGAAATTAGATAGAGAGCTGAGTTTTCACCATTGAAAGGAGGAATTGAAGTCGCTTCGAATTATATATTATAGATTCTTCTAAGATATATTTTTCTAATCAAATTTATTTAAAAAAAATGTTTGAATGAAAAAAAAAGTTTTTTTTATTTTAATTAGATTTTTGTCGAATTTACATCAATCAGTGAATGTCAAAAAGCACAACAAGCATTAACTGGACGAAAATTTGCTAATCGTGTTGTTGTTACATCATATTATGAACCTGATCGATATCATCGACGTGAATTTTAATGAAATAGAAAAACGTATAATTAATTAAGAACGTTACTTTTCTTTTTTTTTCTTGTCTTTTGATTATATGTACAAGTTGCATTGTTGTCGCCGTATGTATGTGTGATTCTGTTTCTTTTTTTTCTTTTTCTTGTGTTTCTGTATTATTGTGTGTTATAAAACAATACTAAAAAGAAATATATGACTCGTTCACGTGACGCGACGCTTCGTTGGTCAAGTTTTTGAAAATTTTATTTTTGAGTTGGACAGATTTGAATACATTATTACGTGTAGTTTTTTCACGCTAATTATGAAGTTGACATTTGTTCTTTAAAAAAAATTCAATTTTGGCATCGATAACCACATTTTAAAAATAGTATTTTGAATTTTCTAAACAACAAATTTTTCTAAAAATGCTGAGTGACACACCATTCAATACAGAATTTAATTTTCTACAAAATGGCCTATTTATTTTTTGACTTTCGTTGCTAAGTGTAGGTTGTTTATTCTTGTACAGTGTCCAACTTACTGTACATTTGATGAGTTCCTGTTTTGATGTAGCAACTTGATTCTTGCGTAGAACGATTAGATATACAGAAAAGACCAATATTTATAAAAATCAAATATTTCTGAACATGTTAAGTGTCCTAAAATTGGTCGATAAATAACGGTGTAACATTGTTACATTTGGTTTTTTTTACTGTAAAAAAAGTCCGTTCAATGCTCGATAAAACTGGCTTTAGAAACATTTCATTTGGAGAAAAAAAAGGATCTTTTTATGCAACAGCGTTACATGATGATAAAACTTTTCTAGAAACTCGAGACTTCATCCAAAAAAAAACGTCATGCTTATAGTATAAATAGAGTGTGATATGTTGCGTTGAATGGCGTTTGAACAAACTTTCTATTTCTCAAACCTTCAGAGATAATTAAAAAGTTAATATGTCAAGAGCGTAACAACGTTACGTTTGAACAAGCCGTATAGTATAGATTGATTAAGACGGTACGTTTTTACAAAAAAAATACCATCAGATATATTCTTTTTAACAGATTAATAAAAAAAGAATTCTACGAAGAATATAATTAGTAAATTTAGTATCAATTGATGTATGATCTGTTTTTATATATTTTATAAAGAAAAGTGGACATGCTTCTTGCTTTTTTTGTATAGAAAAGTACGTAGAATAGGAGTTGAATCTCATTAAACAAATGAGTCCTTGTGAACAACATATTATTTATCAGATAGATCTAATGGATATAAAATTAAAATATATTTGTTCGTATTATTATTCGATAATGTCAGGTATGATATTATCCAACCTTGTAATATATAGACAATCCTTCGCTTGTCTTCATCTATTTGTGTTCGTACAAGGTCTAACTGCAATGTGTGTTATGAAACAAAATTGTCTATCAATATGTTCAGGTGTACGTTCGTCCGGACGAATAGTAACGCTTCATGAAACATTAACAGCAAAGAAGGAGAATAAGACACGTAGATGCATGCACGAAGAAAAAAAATCAATCTTCAACCACTATTAATGTTTATTTCTTCTAATGAGACACATTTTCCTTGTCGTCATGATGGTAACTCGAAGGTAGTGATGTAATACAAAAAAAAGCAGCATTTAAAAGATAAAGAACGTTTTGAATAAACGTGATAGACACATAACATGGGTGGCCGATCTGGGAGAAATCGGATTCCATTAGATGACCCCTTCTTGAATGGTGTGCCACCTGTAGGACCCTATCCTCCAGGACCCTATCCACCAGGCAACGATCCAATTGGTGGATTAGCTACATATGGTCCTTATCCACGACCTTGTTCTGGACCTTACCCACCTGGATCAATGGGAAACATGTATGGACCACCACCTATACGTCGACCTAACAATTTAGGTGGTCGATATGCTCAAGGTAAGTTTTAGTGAAAAGATAAAAAAAAATTTAATTTCAATTAATACCAAGGTTTTAATCGAGCGCCTAGTATGGTTCCGTGGAGTTATGGAAATTATTATTTGGGTAATACCACAATGCAGACAATACCATCTATGTTTAAAAAAGTAGCTCAATTAGGACAGATACAGGCACTGTCTGCACTTGCGAATCCTAGTTTATTAGGTCCTGCAGCAATGATGCCATGCATGCCAGCGATGCCATGTATGCCAGCGATGCCATGCATGCCAGCGATGCCATGTATGCCAGCAATGCCATGCATGCCAGCAATGCCATGCATGCCAGCAATGCCATGCATGCCAGCAATGCCATGCATGCCACCAATGCCATGCATGCCACCAATGCCACGCTTGCCAGCAATGCCATGCATGCCAGCAATGCCATGCATGCCAGCAATGCCATGCATGCCAGCAATGTCATGCTTGCCACCAATGCCATGCATGCCACCAATGCCAGCAATGCCATACATGCCAATGATGTCTTCTAGCATGCCTTCTTCATTCAGTATGTCAATGGCTGCTCCAATGATGGCTGCTGCTACTCCATTACCTGTTGCATTTAATCCATTAGTTCAAGGTATGTATCCAATGGCATCAATGTGTCCTGTTAACTGGATGACTCCATCATCGTTTATGTCTGCTTTAATATCGGGTCCTATGCCTTATCGTCCACCAGTATTTGATTTTCCTAACAATATTGGTATGATCATGACTATTCCCTATGGTACATCGAATCCTTTACTTTCATCACCAAGTTATGATTCATCATTTAATTACGGTGTCAGACCTTTTTCGTGTTATTGGCCTGATTCCATGCCACCAGCAACAACACCTTCATATCCAATGATTAGTTATTATCCACAACCATATCCTTCTGTATATCCTGTTCCTCCAGCACTACCTTATATTCACAATACAGCACTTCAATCGTCTGTATATGCTGGTATGCCAACCACAATAGCTGGTTATAACCCACCATTATCTATACCAAGGGACGCTTCACTTATGCCATCACAAGGTGCTGTTACAAATGTTGGTTTTACTCAACCTGCAGTACTGACAACCAATAGCAATTTGACTACATCTAAATTGATAAATAGTCAATCAACAAAATGTTCATTACCAGTTTACAATACAACAGATCAATCTCAACTTTTAATAGGTCGAAAAGTTATATCCAGTAATTCTAATCTTCCAATCAACTGTGATGAACGTTCAGAAATCACACCAGATACACTCAAATATCGATATAAAATCTCTCAAACTCATGATACTACACCTACTCGACTTCGTCGTCATGTATCATCAACCTCTCGTTCTAATTATAAATCAACTACATCTCGAGGTCGTAGGGAACCAACTTTACCTCCTATATTAAATGGATATCTTATATCGGATTCTGGTTGGTTACCAAAAATTCCTGAATCTAATGCAATATCATCTATATTTGATAGTAAAAAACGAAAACGAAAATCATATACAATTGAAAATGGTACATCAGTAATAGCTCCAACAAATAGTCATGTACCATTTATTTCACGACGACGTTCTCGTCATGGATCAAAATCATCAGCATCTGAATATGATTGTGTTATATGTCAGCAACAACGTGAAAAACAACGTTTACGTGGACATTTTAATGAATCAACGATTTCATCATTATTACAATCATCAAAAGGTTCACGTCAACATCGTTTATCGTCGAATGAATCTTCCTTATCATCAAAAGCACATTCACCAAAATCATATAAACATGGTGATCATAAATCATATCGTCGTCATCGAAGACGAATTAAACATCATAATAAGATATCATCAAAAAAATCAAATTCACCACGACAATCACCCATGCGTGAACGACAACAAGATGATACAATCCATGAACTAGAAGAAAAAGAAATTGAAAATCAGGAAATGGAAAAACATTTTATTGATGATGATGATTATATTCATGATTCAGATAATGAACAACTTGATCATCGTGAATCACCAATTAATAGTTTAAGATCATCAGAAGAATAAAAGCTTTAACAATATATGAATAATAAGAGCTAAATTGTAGTTTTATTTCAATAAAATTTTAGTTATTTATTTTATTTTAGATCAGCAACTATATATTACGTTAATAAAAAGCAAAGAAAAGAAAATATTAAAGAATAATACTTTTATTCTTTATAGTTTCTATTCAAGTAAAGGAAATCTATTCCTTTATAATTACTCTAACATATAATAACCATTTTAAATAAATCTTTTTTTATTTCTTTCTTGTTTTCTATTACATTATTATTATTATTATTAATATAACAACTACTAACTCTATCATCAATATAAATTCTAAACAACTGTTTTCTATTTTTAACTACTTAT